AGGAAAGAGGAGAAGAGGAAGACCAGCAGCAGGGTGGATGGACTCAATTACAGCAGCGATGGGTGCGCCACTCGAAGACCTGAAGGACCAGGTTAGGGACAGGTCGTCATGGAGGAAATATATCTCACTAAGAGTCAACACTGACTTGATGGCACATAATCAATCAATCAATCAATCAATCAATCAATCAATCAAGGGGGGAAAATACTACTTAACACCAGTTCAGTTAAGGATGGCATAAAAGCATGGACATGGGCTGGGGATAAGGTGAAGGCAGCACCATGGAACCCTGCAGAAAAAAGATGATATCAGGGCATGTTTGTTCTGTGGTTAGGTGCAAGTGGGGGCATGGCCTAAGTGGTGAATGCTGAGACATTTTAGAAAAAGGATTTGTGTGTTGTTTCCATACCTATATGCCAGGCTTGATGACAAAAAGGAAAAAAAAAAAACAGTAATGGTGCCGAGAACATTTGGGGTGGGGGAAAGGAGCAAGGTTCAGCCCCAGGTGCACAATGATCTATTAACAACTGTACATCTCAATGTAGGCATTATAATAGATCAAAAGCAAAGAGTCTTGTGGCACTTTAAAGACAAACTTGGGGTTTTTTGGTCTGGAAAAGGTGTGAGGCCCTTCCCTGTCATGCCTGCAGCATTCAGGAAGTTAACTAAATATCCTGCTTGAGAAAAACCATTGTTCATTTGTGATAGGAGAAGAACACTTTCTTGAGTTTTTGTCTTCACTGATTTAATAACAGTAAAGATGGTCAGTCCAAGGTACTGTATTTCTATCTTCTTGATAGCACACCTCTTCCTTACCATTATCTCTACTTGTAGATCTAAGTTTTGGCATCCCCGCCTGGAACAATCCTCCTAAGCCAGGTGGTCCACCTCCACCATAGCTATTGCTGCTGTTACAGCTGCCACTGCCACCACTGGAGAAACCAGAGCTACCACCTCCGCCACCTGCCCCTTTTGGTTCTGCAAAGAGAGGGAAGTTGAAGGGGTCTTAAATCATGATTCTGAAACCACAACATTTTGTTGACTATTTATATCTGGCTTAAATTAAATAATAACCAGTCTGTCCCCAAACAGCAAATTGCTTTAGACTCTACCACTGGAGTCTCTATATGCATCATAACCATGTTAATTAACAATTTTTACATCATCAAGAAGTCTAGTTTACAAAAATTACAAAAGTCTAGTGTACAAATTACTCTGTTTAAGTCTGTGATGATAACTCACCAAATTAACCTCTCTCCAACCGGTCCCTTGCAGTTGTGTTAGACTTCAATTCTCATAACTTCCAGCTAGTATCTTTCATAATGAGGGCTAGAAATCATGGAAACTGAAGTCCAACAGCCTTGGAGGGCATCAGGTTTGAAATGGCTGCATACAGATTGTTATGAATGAGATCTCCCCACAGCCTCAGATTAAAGTTTGGAATTTCTAGGTAAAGGGAAATCTAAGAAGAGGAACAAAGGATTCTTTTGATTCTATTTCAGAAGAAATTATCTCTGTAAAAATTGGGAAATTCTGTTTTATATCAGCCTTGAATGACATACTTCAAGAGTTAATATTTTTTAAGGATAATGATGATGATAATGATGATGATAGTAATAACAATAGGAAATTTCCCCTCTCTTTACTGGGGCTTTGGGATTGAAAAATCCTACTTGTGGTAGACCAGCAACATCTTGTGGTCTGCTGGGAGCATTTTCTTTTTACTTAAGTGGCTGTTTTTCTATGATATGAACAACTGGGTAATTTATCTGTTTCACTATTAAATGTTTGCATTTTCGATATTTAAAGTTTAAAGGGTATTTGTATTTCATCAAATACCTTTAAACTTTTTAAAGGAAGTTTGATTCTGTTTAACTCTGGTGAGATTGGTCTGTCCTGTAAGGGAAGAGGAATGGTTGAAACCTCCAGTCACACAACTAGAAGCTATATACTGAGGAGGTTACTATATAGAAATTATTTCAAGCTTTACATGTTTGATATTTTAATTGCTAGAAAGACAAAACAAATCCTATTTCTCTCACACATTGGAGTGTTGTGAATGTACAGACTGCAGGCTCAGACTTTCAGATAGCTACTCTGCCAGTCCAGACATCTTTATCCACATCTTGATGAAGGAGAGATGTTCTTTTTGTCATTCAGACATAGGGAGATAGCCCAGTCCTTCCTTCTATTCAGGGCATAATGATTTTTTTGTCGCTTTTTAAAACTGAAGCAGAAGCTGCTGAATGTTGAGACTGAGAAATGATGGCACAAACATTGTTCTTCAGAGCTCAGATTACAGTCTGGAATTTCTAAGGAAAAAGGAAGTCCAAAAAACTGAATCAGATAGAATATCTGATTTCAAGAGAATTCTATTTCTGAAGGAATAGGTAACAAGTCTAGGGTGGAATTTGTATTAGAGCTTTGTTGATTATTTCCCTCTGCTGTTTAAATTTCCTGTCTGCTTTCTTTTTCTGTGTAAATTCAGTACTTGAGTGTATTTCAGATTTTTATACGTATCTTCATTTGTGCAGGACTAATATTCCTTTTTTAGACTCTTTATGACTTGGAGTAAGAAGTCCCTCTCCAAACTTTTTAAAATTTATCAATGATTAGGGAGAGAACACGAGGTGATACATTCTCTGGGAGACAGATGGTAGCAGAGGCAACTCTCAAGAGACTCTCCCAAAGCAGGAGGCAGGGCCAGGACAAGAAGACCCAGAGGGCCTCTGGGAAGGAAGGTTTGAGACCACCAGAGTTCAAGTCCACGGGCTCAGTCATTCCACTAGATGGATATACTTACTGTCAAGAACTGGGGCACTCCTATCATTGGTAACAGCCTTCTTCAGCCTTTTCCCTTTGGTAATATCTGACAATAAAGCATTTCGTCCTGCCTGCTCTGTTTTGTTCAAAGAAGGCTTCTCTGTGTTTGCCTGCAAAAGTAAAGATATTAGATATTAGGTAGAACAAGGATAGAAGCACTTAAATCAGAGTATTCTTCGATGTAGAAATCAGCATTTTTTTCTTACATCAGAGCTTCATGATTTCCTATAAAGCTTTATTGTTTGCACACACGTGAAACATTTAGCTGGATCAGATTTTACAACCTTCAAATTACAACTCTGTGAAATCTGGGTTAAACATATACAACAACTCCCAAATTCTGACTGATATCAACAGTGCTACCTAGTGTACCTACACTCCATCAGCATAGCCTGGGGATGGGGAACATGTATCCCATCTTGTGAACTACAATTCCTACCATCCATCAGCCTTGGCCCTGCTAGCTAGGACTTTTGAGAGTTAAAGTTCAGCTATATCTGAAAGGCTATAGGTTCCTCATCCCACAAAAACATGCTTGAGTTTTGACCCAATCCATGTTCCTAGCTCAACTACCTTGACTTCGGATCCAACCGAAGTCCATGGCTCAGTTCAATCCACTGCAGTGGGAATGTCCTAGAGGTCCAAACCTCTATTAGCTAATGTATGATTGGCTACTTCACTCATTTACATCAGATATTGATTCTATTTCACCATCAAACTATGCTTCATTTCAGGAAACAGCTAAGCTTCTAACCATCAATATTAAATTCCTACATATATGTGGGATATCGTTCCAGGTGCTCATTTACTTTGACATTATGCAAATCAGGTTATCAAAATTCAAAACCATGTCTTCAGCAAAGAATTCTGCATGTATTTGAAACCCATGACATTGTTCAAGCACATAAAGATTGCCTTCCTACATCATATTATGGCTATTCATTGGGCACAAGTATACATAGTAAAATTCTATAAAATGTTATATCCTCTGGCATTAGAGTAATGAAATTAAACATTTCTTTCCTTTTATTCATTTTAGGGAGAGATCTTTAAAACCATCATCCCCTTCCCCAAATCCATGCAGCCTTGAGTCATGGTTGCTAATTTAAAGTAGTAGTAATTTAAAACTAAAGACTTATTTAAGTCAAGTTTAACTCTGGAATGACCTCATGCCATTTTTCTCGGTAGCAAGCAATACAGAAGAAGTTTGGCAAGCTTCACTCCAAAAATATTCAATTTTTGACATTCTTTTTATTTTTCTCTGTTTGGATGTCTTACCATGACACAGCAAAATGTGTCACTTCAAAATGAATGTTTGGAGTGAGGTCTGTCAAACTGTGTGTGTGTGTCTGCGTGCGTGTGTGTGTACGCATGTGTGTGTATGAAGAGGGGCATGAAGAGAGGTTGCACCAGTAATTTATTTCGAAAACAGTGTTTTAACAAGAGAATTTGATAAAGTGATGGTTTGGTGAGAAAAAGCAAAGGATGAATGTACTGTAAAAGGATAAGGATAAATGGTATTTCAGGATTCTTTCTAGCAGATGCTTTTCAGCACCATGGTTGATGGGGCAACAGTCTGATGGCAGGATCACTCTTGCAGTGTCAGTGGGGATAAGCCAGGCTTGGCATCAGCCGCCAACACACTCAGCCCATGGCAAGGATTACACACGCTAGATTTTTGCTTTTTGGAAGGTTATAGAGGAATATATAGATATCAGAAAGTTGCAGCAAGCATTAAATAGATCCTATGATGCAAAAAGAAATGGGGGTCTAAAAATGAATGTATCCAAGACCAAGGCAGTTGTCTTTAACCATAAAAATGGAATGAACAATTGCCAAGTGATACATAAATAGTGAAAAACTAGAGGAAGTAGGTGAATTTATGCACCTGGTCAGAACATTTTCTAAAGATGGGGAAAACAGGTGGACAAATGCTAAGGCATTCAAATGATAGAAGGGTGGTGGGTCTCCATATATCCCCTATTGCAATGAATGCAAGAAGCAAAAATGGCTGTGCATAAGAGTGTGCTTCAAAATGAGTATGTCTGAGTATGTCAAGATAAATATAAAATTAAACTGAATGCAGTAGGAATGGGTTGCTTAAGAAGTGTGTGTACTAAACCAAGAAGGGACAGAGTCAAGAATGAATGGGTGAATAATGAATGTAGAATGAATGCAAGAATGAAAGAAGGCCATATAGAGAAGGAGGATTGAAATGTAAACATACAAGAAGGCTTGTATATAGATTGAGACGGAAAAAGTCATATTGGGAATGAGCTAATGAGATCCTCAAAAAGAGAGTGGTGAGAAAAATAACAGCAAAAGGCAATGTATGAAGTAGTATATGGACATGGTGGAAAGGAGGACAGAAATATATGGAGTGATATAGTGAATTGTATTGGTGTAAACTCAATTTAATTAGATTTCCTTTTCTTTCCTCTTAGGCCATGTCTTCAATTTATTTGGCTTACTATTTCTTACTCTTTTTCTGTGCTTTGGTGTATAGTATAATGTTGCTTGCCTACAATGGGAGTACCTGTAGAGCAGGGTTCCTCAACCTCAGCAACTTTAAGATGGATGGACTTGCATGGCTGGCTAGGGAATTCTGGGAGTTGAAGTCCACCCATCTTAAAGTTGCTGAGGTTGAGGAACCCTGCTGCAGAGTGATCAGTATTGAAGAATGAGAAACTCAGCTATTTAACTAACTCAGGAAATTTCCTTTCCTGAAATAAAATACATGTAGTATAAATGGTAGGTATGGGGCCTCTAAACATGCAATAAGCATTTTGTAAAAAGTTAGATAAGTCCAGACTTGTCATGCATCCATCTCTGAATGTCTAGGGATTTAAGTGAAAGCTGACATTTAAATTCTATTATAAATAAGCCTGTAAGGAAGATACACTTTTTTAAATTTGCTATTTTGTAAAGATATGTGCACACAGTTTGCACAAAAGACTTATTTTCTATAAGCTAACACTTATAGATTAATGGATAATCTCATAGAATTTCCTGGCTTTGTTTATAGAGGAATAAAATTGTTGATTACTTTTTACTAAAACCACTTGAAGATTTTTCATCTGCCAGTTCAAAGAGTTGCATAGCTATTTCCAATTTTACAAACTTGCAACCTATGTTTAAAATCTGCTGTGTACTGCTAGAAAATCTGAACTGTATTTTCTTACCAGTAATACAAGCTTAAAATAAAATTTAACCTAAAAATAAGAAAATATTTTCAAGAGTAAGATGAAACAGCTTAAATTTTTCCAGATGTTTTGAAAGCTGACTCATGTTTGTTCAAAATTTAACTAAAGAAGCATATTTTACCCCCTGCCATCATCTCCCATCCCCAAAGTAAATCTTGCACAATATTCTTGCACTTGGTTTCTGTGTTAAATTTCTATCATACTTACCTAAATTTAAGATGAAGATTAGCTGGGAAAAAAGCCTCATCTGCTTCATTTACTATATTCTCAGTGAACATGAGAACTCTGCCATTTTAAAGGTAAATTATATTTGGGGCGGGGGGAGAAACTGGTCTTCTGTTCAGATAAGTACACTACTGAACTTCTTTCCAGCACTTCATAGGCATTAAAATAATGTGAAGAGCAGGGAGTGAAAACATTTTAAAAGTTGGAATTGGTTTCTGCTCAGATTCATTTATATTTAATCTGAAGACCTGGGTTATACTCTGACATTGCGTGTTTGTCACTCACCATAATGTGATGAGATATTTAAATTAGGAGACAATGATGAATGCTTAATGTCCATAAACCATGACTGGAGGCATGTTTCTGATTCTGATTTGGAGGGCAAATATTAGTAATAATTTGGTGACTTACAAATGGCGGGCTGGGTTCATATGTCATACTATGTGATTATGTGGGATTTGAAAATATGGTACCTCAGCACATCAACATGCTCAGGGACACCTACCTCTCTTGATGCAAATACAGGTAGTCCCTGGTTAACTACAGTAATTAGGACCTGGCAGTCTATCACTAAATGACACAATTGTAAAGTGCAATGTCACATGACTGCACTGATTTACAACAGTTCCACTTGTGGTCATTAAGCAAATCCTGTGCAGTTGTTAAGTGCAACATCATGTAGTTGCCATTTGTGACCTCCTGCCAGCTTCTCCACTGACTTTGCTTGTTGGAAGCTGGCAGTGAAGGTCGCAAATGGCGATCACGTGACTGCAGGACACTACAGCTGTTGTAATTGTGAGCTGGTTGCCAAGCACCTGAATCACAATCACGTGACTGAGGGAATGGTGTGACAGCTGCAACTTTGAGGACCGGTTGTAAGACTTCTTGTTCAGCGCCATTGTAATTTTGAACGGTCCCTAAACAAATGGCCATTATCTGAGAGCTGCAAAAGCAAAAAGGTGCTTCAAAGCATTCAGGAGTGTGTACATAGTACCTTTTTGCAACTCCTTAACAAACATGGCTTTTCCCAGGATCGTGCTGCAGCTATAGAGGGTAGCCATCCCATCCCACCAAAAAAAACAAACAAAAACAGCTGTTTTAAAGAATTGCACTCAGGTGCTATGTGAGTGACACTGCATTCTTCAAAGCATTTTTTTCTTTTGCCTTTGAGTCTAAAGTGCTGCACATACGTATCTGCACAAAGCAGAACATCAGTTCTAGCATCATCTTTATTTCTGTTAATGTCTCTGGCACTGGGCCCTGTAAATTTTATTTCTTAGAAAATAATAACGGATAGCTGTAGCCCAGTTTTTGTTCTGAAGTCTATTTGGCTGAAAACAAAGGTAAGCAGTAAGTAGCATCCTATGGTGGAAGGGAGATAGGAGTGTCAAGTCCCATTGGCTAAATTAGTGTAATTGATTATGCCCTGATGTCTACTATTTTGTAAATCAGTAGCCCTTCCCCCAAGCAACCATTTGGCCTCACAACTTGCTGTGAAGATTCTACACATGCCCACCAGACAAAAGACTTTGTGGATGTGTGACTTAGTACATTCTACAAACCTAGCCAATTATACCATGTTTAACAAGTTCAGCAAAACTTGCTTAAGCAACTCATGGTATCCCACTTCAAGGGTAAACAGATAAATGAGAATGGAAAAGCAGTGGGTGAACTTGCTGAAGATGCCCACTCCTCCAAACCATACTCTGGAAATTTAGCGAGTAACTTAAACAGTGCCCCGACAGACATGGAACTTACTACAGAGATGCTGTATATCGCTATGGGAAGCATTGCATGGGTCCCCATTTCCAAGGATCTCCATTTCCAAGGATTACTTCTGTATTAGCTTACATAAATGTAGCATGATTTTAGCTAACTTGGGACTAGTAGGGGGTATTTTTTGGTCTTTTCCCAAAACAAAGAAAAGCCAGTTTAGTGCCATTGTAGGACATTCATCCCATGCTATGATTTATTTTAATCATCACATGGCTGAGCACACCTGCTAAGCTAGGATTTTTTTCCCAACAAAGCTTTGTTGAGGAAGCTTGGCCTGGTTCACATATCATATTAAACCCAAACAAACAAACAAATGAAACATATTATGCTGTGATGTATGAACCAGGCTAGGAGTCACCTAAGGTCTACATCATAGTAGTATAATCTTTTATTATTGTATTTTTTCCAGTATGTGCTTATATATAACCACAGTAGAAGACCTAACTATATTCACAACAACCCCCCTGTGAGTAGCTGAGCTGGGGGGGGGGGGAACTGTCCCAAAGTCACCCAATCAGCTTCCAAGGATGAGGGTGGACTTCCTGCTCCTACTCCAAAGTTTTAACCATAACCCCACACTGTCTCTCACTGTAATTCAGGAGAGAAAGGAAAACAAGCCTTTTGTGGCTAGACTCTGAAACCCAAAGGCATTTGGTAAGCATTATAGTTTAAAACCTTAATAGGTTTATTTATCTTAAGTTTTTCAGAAAGAGGTCCCCCCCCCCCCAAAAGAGAGAACAAAAACCAAAAAGAGAACTGTATGGGGAAAAAAAGGCAACCAACTTAAGAAACAACAACAAAACCAACAAAAAGGGGGAAACGATCTATATATATATCACTCACTCACTCACTCATTTATTTATTTATTTATCAAACCAATTTATATAGCTGCCCATCTCACCACAGGTGACTCTGGGCAGCGTACCACAAAGCTAAACGCAGTCAATAAATACATTTAAAATACAAAAATAAAAATAGAATAGAGAATAAAAGGAAGTTAAAAATAAGGGAGCCACCTCACTAATTCCCCCATCCCCTGGGGTACCCAGGCCTGCTGGCATAACCAGGTCTTGAGGGATCTCCGGAAGCTCAACAGTGACGAGGCCAGTCTCACCTCAGGGGGGAGAAGATTCCACAGTGCGGGCGCCACAGCAGAAAAGACCTGGCACGCCTGGGGCTTGCCAAATGTAATAGTCTAAAACGTGCTTCATTTTCACAGGACAAGCTAGGATGGTCAGGCTTTGTTTCTCTTCCATTAAAATTAAAAACTTTTTAAAACTGCAACTTACCAAAGAAAATGTTGGCGGAGGTGGCGGAGGTGGAGGAGGCGGAACAGGCATCTTCTAGACTTGAATTTCTCCTTTGTCGCAATGAAACCTGTTGGAGGAATACAAACCACCTATATGGTTAAAAACTGAGTCATGTTCTTCATGCGCAACTGGTCAACTAATACAGCCCCCCCCTTCCCCATTAGTAATTTATAATAAATCTGTAGCTTTTAGAGAGCAAAAGATCTGGAGTGACTAAAAATCCAGTTAATCCATTTTGGTTTTTAACTCAGAGAAATAGGATGCTATGGAACAGAGGAAGCCAAGAAAAGATAAAGGCACAGGGGTCTGTTTGCATGCCAGTGTTTCAAGGAGTGAGATTCTAGGTCGCCTCTCCTGTTTGGATCAAGATATCTACTATGGCTTTGCCAGGGGGCAGATCTAGATTCAAAAATCCCCATTCAGCTATGATGCTCCTTGAAGGTCAGTCTCAAATTCTCAGTCTAATCTACTTCACAAGTTTGTCATGAAGTTAAAATTCAGAAAAGGGAAGAAAAATGATGTGGGCCATCCAGAATTCCTTGGGAGAAGAGCAAGATATGAACAAGACAAAAAAAAGAAAAGAAAAGAAAAGAAGAAGTAGTAGTAGTCAAGGAAGTGAACCAAAAACAAGCTTAAAGGAAATTTCATCCTTTTTATTATTTCTCCACCAGTGCGCTTAAGAACTTGATGGCCTAACTTTCAGAGCCAACAGCTAGAGATACTTCCCTCAAGAAAAACATGTAAATGCACCTCAGACATGTAAAAGCTTAAGAAAGGAGAGATATTTTAGAGCGAAGGCACATGAGAGTTCATATTCAGTCTTTTATAATAATAATGTTTTAATTGTAGAGTGTTTTTTGTAATTACTGTTTTTTATGGTTTTATTGTACACATTTTGTGAGATGGGTGCCATATAAATATGAGAAATAAATAAATATTCCAGAAGGCCCAGATGCTGCATGCTCTTGGGGAATGGAGAGAACATATGCATGCATTAAATATTTCCAACACTGAATATTTAGGGACAGGCTACAGTCTATTCCCATCTCTTCCAAAAAAATATTGTAAGAAGTTGCAGAGAGAAAGTAAGTTCAAACTGCAACTTGAAAAGTAGAAAGCTGTGTGTGTGTGTGTGTTGCGAGTAAAACATGGTCTAGATCAGTGTTTCTGAATCTCAGCAACTTTAAGATATGTGGACTTCAACTCACCGAATTCCCCATGCTGGTTGGGGAATTCTGGGAGTTGAAGTCCACACATCTTAAAGTTGCCAAGGTTGAGAAACACTAATCTAGGTGATATCAAGCAGATTATCTCCTTCTTTGGAGTCTGGCCATAAGGAATGAGTACACAAGACTTTCAGTCCAACACTATGGTGTTTTGAACTGTTATTGGGGAGGGTGATACTGGAAAGAAATGAATCATTTCTCTTGCTGCTTCATACATTATTCTCATGTTTTATAACTGCACGGAGGAGTTTCAGGTCCCAAAATTTACTTCTCTGAAAAGAAATGCATGAGAAAATGGTGTTGATGAGGAAAGCCATGTATCAGCCCTGTCATCCTATTAAGATTCAATCAGCAATTTGATCAATACAAAATTTAAATCCTGTTTAAAATGTAGGTATTATCTGACCCAGTTAGGTCTGTTATGTATTCTCTTTCCTATCGACAGAAAAAGTTAACCTAAACATTAGCCTGATTTGCAATACTGTACAGTGGTTTGTCCTACAGTCACATTTTTCTAATTCTTGTACTAAAACTTTAACACTTCCATCAATTCATATCAGCCAAAGTTCTGAATATTTTAGAATTGTACATTTTGCTATCAATCTTCCCTGTAGAAAAATAGACAGTGTTTTTTCTGCAACCATTTTAGGCCTAAATGTGAAAACTGCAAAGTCTAAAGTTAAATTTGTTTCACTTCCTGTTAATAGGGAAATTAGTTCTTGCAGCAAACCACATTCTTCTTGTTTAACTACGGGTTTCGGGTTTTTTTTTTCCATAGCTGCAATAGTTTGTTGAATTCATATCCTACAGCCAACAAATCCTGACAAAACATTTCTAGCCACTCAAATATAACTATTCCTGTTATCCTGAGGTGGCGGTGGCTTGTATAAATGCAATAACCAAAAGCATTTCAGACTGATTATGCTTAAAGTCCCTATAAGGATTAAACAAACTAGATTTAATTTTTTGCATAAAGCATTTTAAGGAATCTTAAAAATTCATCATGTACCAGTAGCTTCGACTGCAAGCTTCTGCAGGCTACCCAAATGTCCAGTTAGCATTTTGTTTAACGTAACACGTATTTGAGCCCGGAAATGGTATTAAACATACTGTAATTTCTATTGACCAAACATCCTAATCCACCTGGCTTTGACAGGCTCTATTTCTCTGATCAGACAAGTTATGTAAATTATGTCATTAGCTTTAGTTTATGTCACTTATGTGATTACATAATGATGCAAATGATGTCAGTTGATCCAAATGGCATACATTCAGATTTAACAAACACCCCCTTCCCTCAAATAGCCTGTTACATTGGAATTTCACTGTTCTTGGACAGAAACCTACTGAAAATTTGGAAAAAATTTAGTTTTCATCCCTAAGGCTTCCATTCCTTTCTTGGACCTTTGGTTGTTATAACAACGCTTGAAGCAACTTTTAGATATTTAACATGACTGAAAACACACAATTTTAAAATAATATAAAAGAATATAATCTATAGCACATGCCTCTATTTTTTTTTAAAAAAAGCTCTCACACCTCTAAAACCCCTTCAACCAGACAGGCCAAAGGCCTGTCAGAAATGCAACCTCAGACCTCTATGAAAAATCAGTAAAACTAAAACTACAGGTAGTCCTTATTTAGCAACCATAATTGGGACCAGCAACTCAGTCATTAAGTGAAGCAGTCACTAAGTGAAACTATGACTCTGCTTATGATCTTATTTCAGCTTTGCTTTGCTTTACAGACCTGCAAAGGTGGTCAGCATGAAGATTGGTCATAAAGTTACTTTTTCATCACTGCTGTAATTGTGAATGGTCACCAAACAAGGCAGTTGCTAAATAAGGACTACCTGTATAGGCAGTTTCACAGGTGCCTACGAGATCGGCAATGATGTTGTACCTGAAAATGTTGAACAGCAGCTTAATTATTTAGGATCAAACTTTTCAAATACCAAGAGCTAACCTAGCTGAATGACCAACATCCAGATGTCATTAGATGACAGCAAAGATTACCCCCCAAACTCTTAACTCTTGTCTTGTTTGCATTTTGAAGTAGGGTAGGGTAGCCCACAAACATCTCTCCTTCTAGCATGCTTACAAATCCTCTTGCAATTCCTTTGCAATGAGGACACGGATCCATGACCCAGAATTGTAGGGTATGTAGATGACATGTTATCTATTTTAAACCAGTCATTTAAAAAAAAATGCTTAAATTTAGACCGAAGACAGAAGTGGAGAACTCACTGCAGTTATTCATTTCCTGAATAATTAGTCTCCAAATAGAGAAAGAGGAATACTGACAAGGCTAATAGAAGATTTGGGGAGGAGGGGGGAGAGATGGGCTCCATTTTTGGTCCCAGGCATAATAAATCAAAAAGCACACTCATAGGGCCAACTGAAGCTGTGCAGTATGCAAATACATACACACGGAAAGAAAGAAAACAATAATGTTGAACAAGTTACCAGATTATTTAAACAACATAAACAAGTGTGTTGTCTCTTTAAAAAGGGGAAATTGGTAAAATGAAATAAGCAGTTTAAAAAAAAAAAGTCAGATTGAGGATGCACTTTTGAAAATCCATGGGGTACGATGATCCAAGGTGGGGCTAAAAAAGTCAACATGGGGGGTAACTCACACAAAAAAAAGCATCATAGCTTGTAATGGTATGTGGGAATGACCTTGAAAGACAAGGGGAAGAGATGTTGTCTAGTGAATGATCAGATCAAAGGGGGAGCAGCCTGCAGCTGAATAATGGGCAGAGAAAGAAACTTAGAAAGGATCCACCTTAACTTATCAGGTGATAAAGAGATGGTGGGAGATTTGTACTTTCAGATTTGCAAGATTTTGTTAATGCAGCCTTACTGTACAATAAAGCAGAATTAGTTCATCTTGTTGTGTTTCCTGTCTGGTCTACCTGGGAGGCTAACACAGCTTCAATCACATGGTCATGGCTGCCAGAGAAGACCGGCCATGCAATTAATATGTCCAGCCTTGATTTTGGCTCTATAAGCCACTTAATGTGGTATAGCAGGCACCGTGAAATCCTCAAAGTGTTTTGGGCCACCACATTCACATTGCTTGCCACCGGCCATGCAAGCTGGGACTGGTAGGAAATGAACTCTAAAACATTTGGAGAAATCTAGGCTGCCCGCACTGGAATTAGGTACATCTCTCTTTAAATGCCTTCAGTCATGAAGCTTATGGTCAATCTTGCTCATATAAACACATTCATAGACAAAAAGGATTTGTACACTGAACAAAATTATAATGTGGTATCTTTAGTTCTGTTTATGATGACACGTGAATTCAGTCACTACAGTCTGTAGGCCATGGTTTATGATTGACCATTATTTGGCTTGTTCAATAAACCATGGTTAAGACAAACAATGGTTTTGTGCAATGTGTGAACCCACCCATCCACATGCAATCTGCCTCTGTCTGTTTCTCACTCTATGTATTCCTAATCTACCTGTCTGGTTTGTATAAGAATAACACATGGATCAAAGGGAGAATAAAAGGACAAAAAATTAAAGATTTGTTTTACATACACATGTACCCCCACTCCAACTGCTAGAAACAAGATGTGTAGAAGAAGGAAGGTAAGGAGGGTACATATCAAGAAATGCTATCTAGTCCTTAACCTCTGGAAATCATTCCTAAAGAAAGCTCAAATTCTCCACTTAAAATATTCAGAGTCACAAAGAAGTTTTTGTTTGAACCTGCAATTTAGGCCAGGCTAAAAATTATAATTAAGATGCTGATTATGTTTTTTTTATTTAAGGCATATACAGTCTTCAACAAGTTCCCTGGGCAGCTTGCAAATATTTAAAGTTACAGA